CATAACCAAAGTACGATAAGATAAGAAATTAGATGTTGTATTCATAACCAAAGTACGATAAGATTTACAACTCCCAGTAGTAACGAGCGCAATCATAACAGAACTGCTTTGTTAAAGAGAAATTTCTAATAAAAACATGTTGGAAATTAAAATGTTCCAATAAAGCAAAAAATATAAACCATAAACTTCGAAACATTTACGATGCAGATTAAACGAACTTTAGAGTTAGTTGTGGTGGCTGCTTTGGAGGTTGTATGAAATGAACGTCTTCAGGGGGGAGCTTGTACTGCGGATTGTTCCAAAGCAAGACGCATACAGCGTCTAGAACTGCCTCGTCTAGACGCTTCTGCAGCATAGATACGAGCTCTTCTGTGATGTTCGGGCCTGTGAACAAAACACATGCGTCAACTTTTGGAAAATTTCAGTAAAAACACGAGAAAATATTCAGACGCACTTGATTTAAGTTTAGTTTGAGACTCAGCTAGTATTTCAGCAAATCTTTGCTCGGTCAGCATTAATTGTTTTTGAGTTTTATGTGACATATTTTTATGAGTTTAAATTAGCAACACAGAGAGGGACATGTGGTGCGACATAAAAACGACAGCTTACTATGGACATAAAGACATTAAACACGATACTAGCACTAACACTCACCAGGCTGGGCGATTCCATGCACAGTAAGCTCGATGTAATCATATCCTTTAGAAGAAGAATGGGAAGCAGTCACTCCCTCCGTGATGACGTCACGCTCTCCTACGGAACTGATCCGCGGTCTCCCGTCAACGCCATGAAAGGCGGACGAAGCAGCGACGACACTTGACGGTAACGTGGCCGCTGGGTGGACGGTAACCGGAGCCTCGGTTACACTTGCCACCGAATTTGAAGTTGTGGAAATATGCTCAGAGGTTGAAGTAAACATAGAAGGATTGTCTTCATCTCTGAACGTCTTTCTCTGAGTGACCTCGGAGACTTCTTCACGGTCGTAGCGGGCGATGTCAGACCAGGCCACGCTAGTAACACTGCCAACGGCACTCGAAAATGATTGAGGGGCTGATGCGATCAGATCAGCCGCCGCTGTGGAATTAGCAATTACAGTAGAAACCATAGTAGAATTTTGTGCGTTGTTATTGAGAGGAGCATTTGCGGGGACCGCGCTGATACCATTGATAGCTCCAGCGGGACTAACAATAATGGCAGAGGAGGCGCTGACATTCGATGTCACTAAATGGGAGTTGGGATCAGCACTAGTGGTCGGTTTTGAAGGATATTTAGTGACCCCACTCTGAACATTTGAGATGATGGTGCCACTTATGTTACTAGTGATGGTAGCTCCAGCGATGTTGGTAGCTGCGTAGTAGCCCGTGATGGTGGCGCAGCTGCTAGACCCCGACAGTGAGCCGCTGGGCTGCGATGGGTTAGACCCGCGTTTGGAATGCAGCGAAGTGTGTGGAGTGAACAGCTCAGAAAGCCTGCAAATTATCAATTAGCTTAGTAACGATCCTGAGATGCTTAAACGCTACAAAGATGGGTGTACTATTTGTCTTTAGGATCACTCGCACTTCCTGAAATGTGACTCTAGATTCAGAGAATGAATACGACTTTAGGCGCCACGCATCAGTAGGGGATTCTCTCGATTTGCAACATAAATAGTAATATTTAGCCTTCTTCCCTTGAAATTTCCATCAAGATATCAATGAAGATTAAGAATACAGTGTCATTTAATTAACATAAAATTCCACAAGCAATGAAGGACGTGATTATTTTACATGGCATACCT